GGACACTCATAGGTTCGCCTTTACTTTGCCCACCATTAACCAAGAAAGCCCTGATCTCAGATACGAGTGGGTAACGTTGCCCCAAGGTATGGCCAACAGTCCCACTATGTGTCAGATTTACCTTGATTCCCTACTGGCCCCCCTACGAAAATCCTTTCCCAAGATAAGATGTATGCATTACATGGACGACCTTTTGCTCAGCGGCAGGGACCCAGACATGCTAAATAATATGCTCAGCCAGTTGGTCGAGGCCCTGAGACAAGCTAATCTGCATGTTGCCCCCGACAAGATTCAGGGAGGAGAAATGGTAACCTACTTAGGCGCGAAAATCTCCCCTATGCTAGTCTCTCCGCAGAAGGTCACCATTAGGACGGATGGCGTTAGGACCCTAAATGACATGCAAAAGCTATTGGGAGACATTAATTGGATTAGGCCATATTTACATATACCAAATTCAGATCTCAAACCCCTGTTCGACCTTCTGAAGGGAGACCCAGATATAGCCTCCCACAGGAGGCTCACTCCTGAGGCAAGAGCTGCCTTACAGAGAGTGGAGAAAGCCTTAGGTGGGGCTACCTTACACAGAATTAAACCAGGGCGACCCTTTGATGTCTGTTTGCTACAGACTAGTCTACAGCCTACAGCGGTGATTTGGCAAAAAGGACCACTACTGTGGATACACCCTAAGGTCTCACCTGCAAAAGTCATAGAACATTACCCGGAGACAGTCGCTTCATTGGCCCTTGAAGCGCATGATAGAGCTGTCCAACATTTTGGCTCAGGACCACAAGCCATCCGAGTACCCTATACCGCCAGCCAGATCAAGACCCTGGCTGCCTGCATAGATACCTGGGCCATTCTGAGATGTGTTTTCCATGGGGATATAAACAATCAATACCCTAAAGACCCTATCTTGTCATTTGTCACTCAGCACCCTATAATTTTTCCAAAGGTTACTGCCTCTGAGCCATTAGTCCCAGCAACTACAATATATACAGATGGCTCCAAGACGGAGATAGGCGCCTATGTGATCCTAGGCAAGCCCCCGGTTACCATACAATTTAAACCAGATCAGCCTCAGGTGGTGGAACTACAGATCGTTAAAATGATTCTTGAACGGTTCTCAGAAGCCATTAACATTGTCTCCGATTCTAGGTATGTGGTCAATGCTATGCAAGTGCTTGAGACTGCCAGTTTAATTAGATCCACTTCCACAGTGGCTGGACTGTTCCTGTCTATCCAGACATTGCTTCAGAACAGACACCATAAGGTCTTCACCACCCACATAAGAGCACATACATCCCTGCCAGGGCCCATGGCACAGGGGAATGCGGCTGCTGATACTGCCACTCGCCCGTTGTGGATTTTTACCTTACTAACACCAATCGAGCGAGCCCGTGCCTTCCATGATAAGTTTCATGTTAATGCCAGGACACTAGCAAACCATTTCCATGTTTCTAGAGCAGATGCACGAGATATCGTGCGACTATGTGACTCCTGTGCCACATACAAACCTGCCATACCGATGGGAGTAAACCCTCGAGGTTTGATCCCTGGTGATGTTTGGCAGATGGACATCACACATATACAGGAGTTTGGGACTCTTAAATATGTTCATGTTTCCACAGACACCTGTTCTCACGTCATATTCACAACAGCAGAAACAGGTGAAAAAGTGTCTAATGTGATCAATCATTGCCTGGCGGCTTGGGCCGCATGGGGCAAACCAAAAATATTAAAAACTGATAATGGACCAGCCTATATAGGCAAAGCCTTCAATGAGTTCTGCAAAATGATGGAGGTTCAATTAAAACATGGTATCCCATACAATCCCCAAGGTCAAGGAATCATTGAGAGGGCTCATAGAAGCCTCAAAGAAATTTTACAAAAACAAAAAGGGGGAGTAGGCCAAGGCCTGGCCCCAAAGGCACGATTATCCATGGCACTATTCACACACAATTTTTTAAATTTAAATAATGATAATCGCTCCCCAGCTGTGGAGCACTGCAACCCTTCCCCCAACCATAAAGGGTGGGTGAAGTGGAAAGATGTCCTGACAGGACAATGGATGGGCCCGGATCCAGTGGTCAGCTGGAACCGAGGCGCGGTTTGTGTTTTCCCACAGGAACCGGGACGAGAACCACTGTGGATACCGGAGAGACTGACACGGGCAACAAAGCCCTCGACTGAAGATCAGACCTGCCCTACTGGAGATCCATCACAGACCAACCAATAAGATGAATAGAAATAGCGGTAGCCCGAAATGGACAAGAAGATCCTCAGGCATATGCATGGCTTGCTCAATTGGCCCACGACCGAGTCTAGATATGGCGGGTATCCCTCATTCTCCTCCATAAGGTGACAATACATAGCAAGGTAGGTGAGTCAATGACGGGTAAGAGCGTGCCTCCCCAGCACGACTCGACCTAAGCCAGGCCCTACCCCATCCTGCACGTAAGCCGCTGGACTGTTAGATGCTGCCCAGGTCTAAATTTCTCTCCGAGGGGATTTCTTTACGGAGAGGAAATGAGTGCAAGCTTGTGTGCATCCAGGTTCCGTCCAGTTTGTGCCTGGCCCTAGAAAAAGGACGAGGGCCTCAGGGCCTTGGCAGACCATGGCATGGCCAACCAGGGTCTAAGCCAAGGACCTACGGTGGGCCTACACATAGGGCATAAGCCTCTGCACCCAGTCCAGGAAGGGCTACGATGCGCACATTCATAAAAAATAAAATAGGGGGAGATGTTGGGAGCCGTGTCTGTGATAGCTCGCCTTGCGCGGCGGACGTGCGGCCTGTGGTAAAGAGCAAAGCCTGAGGTAGATTACCCCTCCCATCGAATATGTTAGTTTCCTGCTTACCGCGTAAACAACCCGCTCAACAATATAGTCTGCCTGGCAACTGATGATGTTAGCCAATCAGCTTGCCTTGCTTACTTTAACATGATTGGACACTGTACCCGTATATATACCGGTGCCACCCCTGGGCGGAAGTAGAAGCCAGGTAGAAGCCCAGAAGTAAAAGCCCAAAAGGAGCCGCGGAGAGCGGACCGGTAGAGGCTTTGGGGCAGACTGAAGCACAAAAGGAGCCGCGGGGAGCGGACCAGAGGAGGCTTCAGCTGGGAAAACCCAGGGCAGGCTGTACGGAGAAGGAAAATAAAAAGAAAAGGTTGTCCACTACCAGACTTTGTCGTGTGTCCTTCCTGCCGGCCGGGAGCGGACATCGACAAATTCTATACATTTTTTGTTGTGCTGGCTCAAACCTAGGGCCTTATACATATTAGGCAAGCATCCTGCCACTGAGCTATACCCCAAACCCCAGTATTGATGATTATTAACTGAAGACCATAGTTTACACTATAATTCAGTTTTTTCCTATGAAATACATGGGGTTTCCATATGCATAATGTAATATATTCAACATTACAATATAATACAGAATAGTTTCACTGTTCTAAAAATCTGTGCTGTTTATCCCTGCCTGAAACTACTGTTCTTTAATTCCCAAAGTAAGCCTCTATCAATTGATTAGACTTAAATAATAATTAAATAATTAGACTTAAATAATAATTCCCTATGGCAATCAAAATTTTGTAATCATTAATGTAGGCCAGCACTGTCTAATAGAAATATAATGTTTGCTTTATAATAGTACTTATCTATTTGCTTTATATCTATCTGCTTTAATAATCGTACTTATTTATCCCAGTATGTTCAGAATACTGTAATATTTTCAATGTGTAACCAATGTGAAAATTGAGTTTTAAAAACAGTTTTTGGTACTAATTCTAGAAATGCAGTGTGCATTTTCAGACATTTTGTGTGCTTGTTAGCCACAGATAGGCAGTGACTGGGTACTGGACAGTTTAGGTATACACTGCTAGCAATAGAATGCAGCTTATCTTCTCCCCGGGGCTCCATAGTAGGACTGCAGTCAGTGTTTTGAAAGTTGTGTTAGAAAGGTAAGACGCCTCTGTATTCTGATCCTTATATGTTCTGCAACCACTTTAAATTCTCTAGCTTTGGACAAAGCAGACTGGAGAACATACTGATTTTCACATAGCAGACCAGTGAGCCTTGCGCTTCCTGAATCCCAGAAAGCCTGAATCATCTGAAATGTTGACTCATGAGCCTAAGGTGACTGTGAAACATAACGGGAACCAAATCTGCCTCTCAAGGCATCTTTTAGTTTCTACTCTTTTCTCTTCCCTTCCTCCTCTTTTTCTGGATGACTCATTCTCCTATATGTAATGTCCAGTACAAGGCAAAGCCCGCTGTCTCTTTGGAAGAGAGCTGATTTTCAGATAGTCAGTCCCACAATTCCATATTATCTAGCACGTCTAGTTTTGTCTACCTCATTCCAGAATCTGTAGTTTGGACTGGTGTGAGCCTAAAACTGTCAAAAATAGTCCACCCCTCCCCCCTTTCTTTTATGGTGGTAATCGTGATGTAGTTTGGAAATCTAAGTTGGAAAACATATAGTGTTTCACTTCAAGATCTTTTAGAATCCTTAAATCTGACTCCATAGTCCTGTTAATATCTTTCTCTAGCTTGGTTTTTTTCCTTTCCGGGGAGGAAAGTTTCCATCCCCAGTTCCCCAGGCTAACGCCCTTCCGGTGGCTCATTAGGAGCCTGTCCAAATCCTCCTGACTGGCAGCCCGCTCCTCTCGCAGGATTCTAGCAAACTGACCTCCAACTGCAAGCCAGGATAAGACCCCACCCGACCCTCCTCTACCCAAAGTGAGGGTGGAGCTCTTAGCTCCAAACTCCGCCCACAAAATCAACAACAGCCGGTCAGAGGGAGGAAGTGCAATAAGCCCCTCCCACCTCCATCTCTTTGCCTTGCCGTTGGGCTGGCTAGCTGCCCATTTTCTCTATCCCCCCACCGATTGGTTTTCGCCCTCCTGCCCTCCCCCGCCGGGGAGGTGAGTCAAGCCAAACTGGGCGGAGAGTATCTTGGCCTCCCTTCCCCGCTTGTCTGGGCGGCGGCGGCTGCAGCTGGGGACGGGGCGGGTGGCGCATCACAGGCGAGGAGGCAGGAGGCGCAGTCTCATTGTTCCGGGAGCCGTCGCCACCGCAGGTCCTGCAGCTCGCTCGGCCGGGCCCTGTCTGTCCTCCCCAGCCCCCACTGCCCGCGGCTCTGAGGAGAAGCGGCCTCGGCGGCGGCGGCAGCTGCAGCATCATCCCGACCCGCCATGGAGGACCTGGACCAGTCGCCTCTGGTGTCCTCGTCCGCGGACAGCGCGCCTCGGCCGCAGCCCGCCTTCAAGTATCAGTTCGTGAGGGATCCAGACGACGAGGAGGAAGAGGAGGAAGAGGAGGACGAGGACGAAGACGAGGACCTGGAGGAGCTGGAGGTGCTGGAGAGGAAGCCTGCGGCGGGAATGTCTGCGGCCCCGGTGCCGCCCGCCCCCGCGGCCGCCGCGCCTCTGCTGGACTTGGGAAGTGACTTCGTGCCCCCTGCGCCTCGGGGACCCCTGCCGGCCGCTCCCCTTTCCGCCCCGGAAAGGCCGCCGGCGTGGGACCCGAGCCCCGCGTTGTCGGCCGCGCCCGCGCCATCCCTGCCGGCGGCTGCCGCAGTGTCGCCCTCCCGGCTCTCCGAGGACGAAGACGACGACGACGACGACGAGCCCCCTGCGCGGCCGCCCCCGCCGCCCCCCGCCAGCGTGAGCCCCCAGACCGAGCCCGCGTGGACGCCGCCCGCCGCGCCGCCCGCCGCGCCCCCCTCCACCCCGGCCGCGCCCAAGCGCCGAGGCTCCTCGGGCTCCGTGGGTGAGTGCCGCGCCCCCCTTTTGTGTGCAGGGCCTCCTGTCCGCCCCGGGGACTTTGTCTGCGGGCGTCTGGCGACGGCGCCCCCCGTGGCGGGCGGCGCGCGGAGAGAAGGGTGGGGCGGCCGCCGAAGCCCGGGCTTGTTTTTTTGTCTGTCTTGGTTTCGGGGAGCACGTGTACCCCATACCGCTCCATTTCTTTGCTCTGGTCCCTGCTCTATTGCGTCGCTGAAGTTAGGCACCATCCCTAGTGGGAGCTGGCCGTGTAGTGAGGAACTAAGGTTGCAGATTCTTAGGGCTGGCTTGGCCTCGAGGAGCGGATGGAAAGGCAGTGGCACCCTAATCTAAAATATTTAGCAGAGGCTTTTGTTAGCTAGTCTGTATGCTGGTAAGGAAAGGGTGCTGTTTCGCTTAGGCACTGGGTGCGCACACACAGTCCCAGAGCTGCTCTCCACACTACCCGGCTTGGGGGCCCTTGCATTTCATCCCTCCCCCTCTTGCGCTGGTGGGGAGCTGGCCGGTTGGAGAGCGTCCACACTGACCCAACTGCGGTGAAGGCAGAGCGCCTCCAGTGGCGTGGTACAGGAGGAGAACGGGAAGGAGAGACTTCTGGCGAAGTCCTGCCACCGCCCAGCTCAGCCGGTTGTAATGTGGCAGCTCTCCACCATCTAAACCCAGCCAGGAAACAGGATCTGGGCATTGTGTTCCGCAGGGGCACAGTTCTGCCAGGGTCTCAGCTGCAGGGTGAGAAGAATTTGCCAAATGTCATTGTGGACCTCTTACTGCGTCGTAATTGTATGTCAGAGAAAAGGCAAAATGGTTGACATTCTTAAAAAAGAGAAAGTCTGTGGATTCCTTCGGAAAAATTAGCTAATTGAATTTGTGGTAAATTTGCCACAATGAAATATTTTGAGACAGATGTTTTCAAATTTTGATTAGAAATACTACTTTTCCCATTGAGTGATTACATTTTTTAATGATCTGAAAAATAGCTTCCAGATCTTTTCACTTATATAAATACTTGATTGTATATTATCACAGCATTTTTACTTTTAGGAATGTAGTTTTATTGACCTTTTCATTTTGGGAAATTATTGTGGAAAGGAAAAAAATCAAGTTTGTTACAGATTGAGGATGCATCATTTTAGATGCTCGTTGCTCCCGAAGCTCAATGCTTTGGGACTTCGTGTGCCTCTAAAAGACAATTCTTTATAATGATGTAGAATCAAGTCATTTAACTGCTGAGAAATCTTTATGGGCTTGTGGTATTTTGGAGGTGGCTCATTTCTTTAGAAAAGGGTGTCAGTCTGAGATCACCTGATTTTTTTTTTTTTTTTTTCCAATTCACACGTCTACAATGGGGGCCAGGTGTGATGCTTCTGAATAATATTATATTGATGTGCTCCAGGACGTTACTGAGAACAATAATTTCTAAAGACATTAGAATATGAGTAGTATAAGGCTTCCTTTTTGTGTGAAAAGGCAAAAAGTTATGAATAAATATTTAAATAGGTGTTTTTGTAAAGATTGGCAAAAGCATACCAGCTTGCCATGTTATATTCCTTCATGCGAACAAAGAGAAGAGTTCTGTTTGCACGTTCGGGATTCAGTAAGACAACATTATTTTGTAATACTGACCTGGAATATTAGATTTAGGAGACAAAGGAGAGAGAATATTGCCTATTCAAATTTGTGTAATTTTGTATTTATGCTTATTTGGAAACTTCAATTCTTTTTATAAATGCAGGAACAGTGATTATGCTCATGGATAGTTAAACCATTCCAGTACATCTAGATTTCTTAATTCACAGAAATTTGCTTGTTAATTGAAGTCTTTATTAATTTGCTGCTAAGATTCAGGCATTGTTCCAGGCTTTTAGTGTAACAGTAGTGACACATATGCTCTTTGCATTGGGAGATAATTATCACCTAAATAAAAAATTACAGTAACAGTGTTACATGATAAGTAAACATAATGGCATAGAGAATAACTTGAGTGTGTGGGCTCCTTTTTAAGTGGGTGACACAAAGAAAGTCTTCAGGCTACAACTAGGGCAAAAGCCCCAATGCTGGAATGTGCTTGTTAAGTGAGTATTGGACCTAGTAAGACTACTGAGAAAAACTTTTGAGAGTTGCTGGATGATAGTGGAGAGCTGGGCTACAGGCAGACCATATGGGGTCATAAGCCATGGTAAAATAATGTTTGGCTTTAAAAATATATTTACTGTAGAAATATACTCCTTAATATTGTAATTTTGGAGTTGAACGACAAGTTCTGAAAATTGAGATGGACTGAGAAGACTGCTGTGAGTACAGACAAAGGAGGTGACAAATGTGTAGCGCAGCTGGAAACAGATCAACCAGAAGAGGGCTTACGGCTCCCGACACCTGCCGCTGAACACTGCCGCTTACACTGGTTTCTAGTTGGCTTAGCTTTCCATGCTTGCTGAGTTCCACCTCCACAGTTTGCTTTTGTGTGTGGAACATCTCCACTGCAGTGCAGTCAGGCTGACGTGAGCCTGGTGCCTCTCACTTGATGGTCATTTTTCATGGAAAAAAATGTCCTTTCAGTTCAAACAGTTCTTAATTAACTGTCTAGTCTTTGAGAATATGCAAAGGAATCTCTAAATAGAAATGACTTGAGATAAGTGTAAACATTGTCAGTAGATTGACTTTGCGCTGCGTGAACGTGTTCTGAACAGATGTGAAGGCTGAAAACATGTGGCAGGTCTGGATGCTGAAGGGTATTGGGTGCCAAACTTGGATTTTATCATCCTGCTTTAATCCATTCTCTGTCATCAGAGTTCTCTGCTTTTGGCAAATTTATGTTCTAAACAAAACAAAACAAAATACTTTATGGTAATTATTTCTAAAGTATTGTTACTTCATCGTTTTTCATTTTTTCCCTAATTGACTGACCCAGCCATTGAGAATCCACTGAAGATTATTGAGCTGAGGTAGTGCGTCCTGAAAACAGTGATAGAAAATCGTTGACATGGTTGAGGTGAGCAGGGTCTGAACTAATGTATTATTGGTTTATTTAGTGAAAGAGTAAAGGAGGGAAAATAAGAGACTGTAAGAAGCAGAATTGCTTTAATTGCTTGGGAAGCTCTGTTTTCATAGTTAAGTTACAAAGAAGCCTTGTGAAGAAAGAGTTGTTAGGACTTGGAGGCCATGGTTGTAAATACTGTACAAGGGGAAGGGGTTTATTAAATGAAAATTGGAGAATCTCGCAAGTTGTTAATTACCACAGAAATTTGAGTCAGTGAATATTACTTTTAAGTATATAGGATATGGCTTTATGCTTAAAGATCAGTCTTTTATGAGAGTATTATATGATCATTTAATTTGACATAGCACTTGCTAGAAATTTTACAAGCTTTTGAGTTACGCAGCGTAAACCTTAAGCGCTAGTTCTTTTGTTTGTTTGTTTTTTTGAGACCAGGTCTTGTGATGCAGTTTAGGTGGCCTTTTAGCTTGCTATGTAGCCCAGGCTGGCCTTGAACTCAAAGTGATCCTCTCAGAGCTGGGATTATAGGTGTGAGCCAGCACACTTGGCTTTAAGCACGAATTCTTAATGTAAAGTCCAAGTAAACAATGATTTATCAGGCTCTTGACAATGATGTGTCAGTCTCTGGAGTGGATTTCTTCAGAGAAAAGCGTCTCGTCTCCTGCCTTGTCCATCTTCCTGCCTTTCACTTTTATCTGGAAAAGAATGGCACGGAATAGCTACGAATGTATACATTCTGAATAATTTTTTTGTTAAATCATTTGTAATTTTCTGATTAGTAAAAAATTAAAAGTAAGTGGTATGTTCCTTTACGAACAAGATGAATTATGTTTCAGATTGGTTCCTAGTACACTCTGTAAACTATAGTAATTTGTAAATGCCTTCTGTCTTAAAATGAGGTAATGAATACAGGTGGAACCTTTAGTAAATAAATGGAATGACACTTAGAAAACATGGCATTTTAGTGCTATACCTACTGCAAGTTTATTGTAGTAAATGTTACATACTGTAGTATAATGTAGTATCATCTTTGTATAAAACATTTCCTTGTCCCTTCAGATAACAGTCTCATATTTATATAAAATATTTCTAAAGATGGGCATATTATATTATTAACCTTTTCAGCATATAATTTTATAATATACCTAAAAACAATTTATTTGAAACTATTCAAAGCCTTCGATTTAGTTTTTTTTGTTTTGGTACTGGGAATTGAACTCACAGCCTTGCACTTGGCAGGCAGGCACTGATGCCACTGAGCTAGATCCCCAGCCCTAAAGCCTTCAATTTAAATGGTACATTTTAAAGGTACTTTGCTAGCCCATGACAAATGATAGCCTTCCCTCCTCCCCTTCCTCCTTTTTCTTCCCTTCTGTTTCCCTCCTCCTCCTCCTCCTCCTCTTCCTCTTCCTCTTCTCCCCCCTTCTCTCTCTCATGCTGGGGATTGAACCCAGAGCCCCAGCTCCTCACACATGCTAAGCATGCTCCTTACCACTGAAGACATCTCCAAGTCCTGGATGTTATTTCTTGATTCTTCTCTGAAATTTCTGATTAGACTCTTTAACCTCCAAAGGAATTGAGAATTTCACATTTAAGCTGCTGGCATTTGTGCCTGTACTGGCGTATCTTGCTTCCTTTTTTCCCCATTCCTTTCCCCTCTCTTCAACCCTTTTTCCCTTCCTTATTAACAAAAGCTTTGTTTTCATTTTTTCTTTCTATTCTGTTTTATTCCTTGTCCCTTCGGATGATTATTTTTAAATTTTAAAAATTTTGATTACCAACAGTGCTCCCCCCATAGAACATGTTTGTAGTACATGTTTGCGGTACGTAATTCATTGTGGGATAAATAATACATCTTAATTCTTTTTTTCATCTCTTTCCCCCATCTCTTGGTCTCTTTCCCTTTTGCAAAAGGTCTGTCTCCCTATTTCCTATTTATCTTTTTATTTTACTCTGGTTTATTTATATTTTGGGTTTTACATATGAGACAAAGA